GTGCTCAGCAGGAAGGCCTCCGCAGGGTCTGAAAGACCTGCCTGCTGGGTCCGCTGTGAACCTCCACGGGGGCGGGAAGAGGGCGTCTACACTGCCTCAAGTCTCCGGACCCAGAGACAACTACACCACCCGATGCTGAACTGGACAACGGGGTTGCTCCGCGGAAGGGGTTATGGAGGACCTTTCTGCCGCTCCTTCGGACTTTCTGGACTTTGCAACTTTCTTACGGTAAAGGAAACGGGGAATAAAACAAGAAACGGGGCTGACACTGAGCTGAACTGGGGACTGGCACGGTCTTCAGGCAGAGGAACACCCACGCCTGGCCCCCCCGTGCCCGCACGGCCCCGCTCGCCCCCAAGCCCGCCCCCAGGAATGGCACACGCACCTGGGAGTTCTGGATCCTGATGGTGCCGGGCGACAGGGCTTGTGTCACCACCTGGCCTTGAGGAGTGACAACCGTGACAGGCTGATACACCGTGCCACCTCAGGAAGGAAGAGATCAAAACGCTCTTGAGTCTCGGTGATAGAAAACCACATTCTCAATACACTCAACGTACATCGTGAAAGGAAAACAAATCTCTGGTCTGACGAGGTTTTTAAGCCATGTCGAATGATCAGTACCCCGCTGGCGGACTTGTCACTGTAAACCATTAAAACGACCCTCCCGGATGAGCCGCGCCCCGGGAGGGGGGCGGGGCGCCGGGCAAGGGGCAGCGAGGCGTCCCGTTGCCAGGGCGCCGCCAGCTGGGGTGGATGCTGCAATTCCCTTTCCTTTGCTCCATTTCCCCCACAAGCGGCACGTGTTAAAGGACTTGGCCGAGGGGGCTAAGTAGTTTTCATCGCAGTATTTTGTTGCTCGAACGCGCTTCCATCCTCCTTTGGAAGCTTCCCTTCGCACTATCGTGTGAGGGTTTCTCCCCGCCCCACGCGCCCCGATTCCGTCCCCACGATGGCTTTGTATCTGCGATGCTGGAGACGCACCAGGGACCTGCAGACTCTGTCCCCTTCCCGCGATGATTTCTGCCGTGCAAGTAACACCAAGGCTAAGAGGGAGTTTTGTTTGCTTATCAAACATTAAGGGCACGACTTAAGGTTTCCCAGATGCTGCCAAGAGTACAATTAAAAACTACGTTATCTGCAAATTACAACTCAGTTTTTGCTATATATTTTCAACTCCCATATAAAACCCTTCTTCCCCAAAGTTTTTGGTAGGGACGCACAACTTGCATAAAATATCTGTTACCGAGAATGAAAACAAGAGACGGGCCTTCAATTCTAAGAGGTGTAGTCTTGCCACCCCTGTCTCAGGAACTGGCGTTAATCAGCAATTGCACTGACGGGCTTCTCCGTTCTCATATAAAGGACTCTTGCACAAAAGCTCAAGGAAAGAGTGTCCTTTTCTCCGTCGGCATACCTGCCACTGTTGCCATGGTGACGTTCCCCTGCTGCAGCGCGGATGCGGGCACCACGATTCCTTGGGGGCTGAGGGTGCCTGAGATGGCACTCTGAATCTGCTGTGAGTCAAAAACACACGGTGAGCAGTGAGCGGAAACACAAAAGCCACGCTTAAAACTTTAAACCAAGTGGCATGGTGCCACCACCAGCGAAGGCCAGGTGCTCGAGACAGAGACGCAGAGGACAAGCCTTCCGGAAGGCGCGCCTTCCTTATCTGCAAACCAAGAGACCCCAGACCGACCCGCTATTAAATACGACCGTCAGCACCGAGATTCCAGCTTCGACCTGGCTCCCAAACGGTCATCTTTCGCCTCATCATATCAGACTCGCCTCCAAGCCCTGGAGGCGTGACGAGGAAGGCCGGGAGGACCTAAGGTCGCCGCACAGCCTTCCCACTCCGTTGGCTCACTCTAGAGCTTTCCAAGAACCAGAGTCCCCGTACGGAGGATGCCACAGGCTCAGGAGGCTCCACGTGGTGCCAGAGAGTCACCTGCGGCCGCGGCCAGCTCTGTCCCCTCACCAGAGCACGGAGCACGTTGGTGTCCCCCCTCCCCCCGCCCCCGCCCCCACCCCGGGCGTTCAGGTCCGTAGAGTGCTAGGTCTGGGCCTGGCCCCAGCCGGTTGCACAGAAAGGGCGTAAGACCACATCAAGATCCCAGCCATCCCAAGTCAGGTACAAATGGGCTGTGATGGCTGGGGCAGGTGGCCGGGAAGGGGGCTCTGTGCCGGGCGTCAAGGCACAGGGTCTGGCACACCACCAGCACGCAGGTATTTGAGCAATTAGATGGCATCAGTGCGAAAACCCGAAGACGATTACTCTGCAGGCTGCCGCACCGATCTGAGTGCGTGTCCGAGCTTTGGTAGGGACACACGGCATCTGCCACATGAACTTGGTTAGAATAAAAATTAATTCATCCAAATCAAATATCCAAGCTCCCACATGAAGGACCTAGAAGAAGAGGGACAAAATGAAACCAAAGCAAGCAGAAAGTAGGGAATAATAAAGATCGAAGCAGAAATCGATGAAACTGAAAACAGAAAAACAACAGAGAACAGCCAATGAAAAAAAGAGCTGGTTCCCTGAAAAGATCAATATACTGACAAACCTGCTAAGACAGGAAAAAAGGGAGGTGACAAGTTACCAGCACCAGGAAGGGGATGGGGGAGGGGGGTGGGGGTGCCACAGGGCCTGCAGACGCCGACGGCGGGAGGGGCTCTGGCGACAACTGGGCACAAACACATCTGACGTCTAGACGGAAGCCAACACGAAACACACCATCCCAACAGCCCGGTAACTGTTGCGGACGCGGAATTTGTAGCTCGAAAACTCAGAAAAGAAACCTCCAGGTCCAAGTACCGTCACTGGAGAATTCTATCAAACACGTAACGAAGAATTCACACCAATTCTACATAATCACTTCCAGAGAACAGAAAAGGAGGGAATACTCTTCATCTCATTTTGTAAAGTCGTATTATTCTGATACAAAACCTTGGCAAAGACTGTAACAAAAAAGAAACCACAATCAGTATGGACACACAAACGTCTCACAACATACAGCAAACAGAATTCGGGAACCTATATAAAAAGAATTAATGTGCTGCGACCAAGTGGTATTTATTCCAGGAATGTGAGGCTTGTTCAATATTCGAAAAATCAAGTAATGTGATCTACCTCCATGTTAACAGAAGAAAGGAGAAAAATCACATAATCACATCAATTCATGCAGGGAAAGCATTTGAAAAAATTCAACATAATAAAAAAAAAAAACTCTCCGGACAAAAAAAAAAACAGGAATAGAGGGGAACTTCCTCAACTTTATGAAAAGCATCGAGAAAAAAATCTTCCAGTAAAATTATAATTAACAGTGAAAGGCGGGGGCACCTGAGTGGCTCAGTCGGTTGAGTGTCTGACTTCAGCTCAGGTCATGATCTCATGGTTCGTGGGTTCAAGGCCCACATCAGGCTCTGTGCTGACAGCTCAGAGCCAGAGCCTGGAGCCTGCTTCAGAGTCTGTGTCTCCCTCTCTCTCTGCCCCTCCCTCACCCGCACTCTGTCTCTCAAAAATGAATAAATGTTAAAAAAAAAAACAAAAAAACAAAAAACAACAAAACAACATTGGAAGGCAGAATGCTTTCCCCCTAAGACTGGGAACAGGGCAGGACGTCCACTCCCACCAACTGTATTCAAGATAGCACTGGATGTTCTAGACAATGCAGCAAGGTAAGACAAGGAAATAAAAAGCATATAGATCAAGAAGGAAGGAACAGACTATTCCTATCTGCAGATGATACAACTTAACAAGAAGGAAATCCTAAGGAATCTATGAGAAGGACCTCCTAGAACTAACAAGTGAGTTCCGCAAGGTCGCAGGATACGAGACAGACACACAAAAATCAACTATATTTCTAAATACTAGCCGGGACACTGAAGTTCAAAGATAGAATACCATTTATGATTGCTCAAAAAAATACTCAGGTGTAATTCTAAAAACACACGTGTAGGACTTATAAGACAAACTTACAAAACGCTGATGAAAAAAATCACAGAAGAGTAAATAAATGGAGAGAAGTATCATGTCTGCGGACCAGAAGAGCCAACACAGGAAAGATGCCGATTTGCCCCGAAACGATACACGGGCGTAATGCCATTCCTGTCAAAATCTCAGTAACGTTGTTTTGTAGATACAGACAAGATCACTTCAAAATTTACACGGAGAGGAACTAGAATAACTAAAACCATTTTGAGAAAAAAGAATAAAGGGGGACAATACAGTCCACCCCGATCTGAGACTTACCAAATAGCTCCAGTAACCACGGCTACACGGTGGGAATACATCCAGCAGTGTGACAACAGAGGGGACAGAAACAGACAGACACAAACAGACTGGCATTGTGACAGTGTCACAAAAGCAACTCAACGGAGGAACTTCCGGAAGCAGCCTCCACCTAAACCCTCACACTTCGTACAAGAGTTAACTCAAGATGGGTCGTGGACCTGAGTGTGAAACACACAGCTTGCAGAAAAAGGACTGGAGAAAATCTTGGGGCTCCAGGGCTCGGCAGAGTTCTCAGACTCACCACCAGAAGCACAGCTCATCAAAGGAAGAGCTGGTACGTGGGACTCGATCAGAATTTAAAATGTTTGTTCTGCAAAAGACCCTGTGAAGAGGATGAAAAGATCAGCCACGGACTTGGGAGAAAATATTTACAAACCACATAGCCAATAAGAGACTCGTATCTAGAATACTCTCAAAACAACAGTTAAAAAAACCCTAGAAAACGGGCAAAAGACACGAGCAGACGTTCTACCAGAGAGGATCTCCAGATGGCAACTAAGCCCACGGAAAGATGTCGGCGCCGTCAGCCATCAGGGAAGTGCAGATTACGACCGCGCGGACCACCGCCTGCCACCAGAACGGCTCGAGGGCACCAGTGCTTCCCGTGGGTGGACCTTGAGGCCACTGCGCTCCGCAAAATACGCCAAACACAGAAGGACAAATACTGTAGGATTTCCCTTACGTCAGGTGCCCAGACGAATCAAATCCATAGACACAGAAAGTAGAATGGTGGGAGCCAGGGACTGCGGAGGGGAGAAGTGGGAGTTAGTAGTTAACAGGGACAGGCTTCCAGTTTGAGAACGTGGGAAGTTCTGGAGACGGAGGGCGGGGACGGTGGCACGACAGTGTGGACGTGCTTCAGCCACGGACCTGTGCACTTAAAAACGGTTACGATGAGGGGCACCTGGGGGGCTCGGCCGGTTGAGGGCCGACTTCGGCTCAGGTCGTGAGCTTACGGTTCACGAGTTCGAGCCCCGCGTCGGGCTCTGTGCTGACAGCTCGGAGCCTGGAGCCCGCTTGGGATTCTGGGTCTCCGTCTCTCTCTCTGCCCCTCCCCCACTCATACGCTGTCTCTGTCTCAAAAATAAATTAAAACGTTAAAACAAATTTTTAAATGGTTAAGATGGCACATTTACGACATGTGTACCTTACCACAATTTTAAGAAATAATGAACAAAAAACATATTTTAAAAAAGAAGGAAAGAAGTGAACGGTACTCTATCCCCCAGAAGGATGGGATCCGGGGCACGGTACACAGACCGAGGCCTCACTTCAGTGGCTGCGTGATGCCCGGAGGGACTGTCTTTCGGGCTTGAGGGAATTCACTGCCAGCCCAGGTCAGGCTCAGAGATGTAGAAACCTCTCTGGGCAGGACGGCCGTAGACAGCCCAGACGTTCTGAAAGGGCTGTCGGTCTCCGGACTGACAGTAACGAGCAGCCGTCCGTCCCCTTGCGGACAGGACGGTAACCGAGGAGCAGAGCGGGGCCCAAACGTACGTAAATACCTGGGACTGGACGGGGGAGTACGGGCTTCCAGGCTCCCCGCTCAGGAGGGTCTCACTGTTCATTTTCGTCTTTAGACAAGCAATATAGCGGCTGCAGAAGTCTTTGCAGAGCTCGTTAACCTTTTCCAGCTCAAGAAGATGAATGCGCAAAACCTGGATTGCTTTCACCATCTAGAAGCAGAGACAACGAAGGCTCTCAGACAAGCAGGCAGGAGCACAGCGGCCGTTGGTGTCACCAGCACAGGACCGCTCCGTGACTGGCCCGAGCCACGTCGCCACGACCGTCTGCACCGCCGGGGACACAAGGGGAGCGACGTCAGAAATCAGGCCAAACAGTAAGTCACCCCGGCGCCGCTGACCTTCCGTACTTCAGCTGCATCCGGTGTGTGGGGACCCAGATGGTCCCAGGGCCGCCCTCGGGGAGTCGCTGCAGCGGGAGACAGCAGGGCCTCGGCCCGGCCCCACGGCCGACCCGCATCACAGCCAGTGAGGTGCTTCCCTCCCGCTTCTTCGTCTGCAAACAGGGAGGAGTCCATGCCCACCGCATAGGCAGCTCTTCATTTGGACAAAACCCCAGTTAACCGACTCTGCCCTTTACGGATTGTGCTTTCGGTGTCGAGCCCGAGAACTCCCCGCCCAGTGCCAGATGCGGGCTTTTACGATTTTCCCAAAAGTTTTACAGTGACTGTGTCAAGTCACTAAGTTCTGGCGTCACCTGCCCCACAGCGGTAGACAGCGGCCTCAGATGGAAACCACCACTTGCCGGGAATCCACAACCCAGAGCCCAGCCCCTCCCCCTGTGACCTGGGTGGCAGTAATTCACATGTATTTGTGGACCGAGAGTGACCACGAACCAAACTCTGCCAGGCCCTGTGCTCGAACACCGGTCAGGAGAGCCCGGGGCCACTCTGGCTGTACCCGCGGCCCACGCACTGATGGCTGTATGACAGAGATTCAGAGGCGGAGAGAGCTTCTGAGTCTCACCCCAAGAGGGCGGGCGCTGCTAGTCCCATTTCAAAGATGAGGAGACTTACTCAAGGTCGGACAACTCATCACAAAATCCATTAGGCAGTGAGGGCTGAATGTATAATGAGAAACTTAAAGAGCAACAAAGCTGCGGGCAATTTATTCAGGGAAAACTTTTCTAAGGATGCTTTTCTGCTGCTAAGGGCCCTGACTAGGGCTCGGGGCTGGGCGTTAGCGTGCTCTAAGGAAACCCGGTGAAGGGACAGGCCCCCGGCCACAGGCTAACGGCTCTCCACCAGCACGGACGGGCCCCGCTCCCTCCGGGTCCGGCACTGACGTTCACTCCAACAAAGTGTCCGCTCCCTTGAGAAAGCACACACAGCCCTGAACCTCGGGGCCGGAGCTGGAAGGAGGGCGCCAAGGTGAGACCAACTGGCTCCGAGCAGAAAGGCCGAGGGAAGCAGCGGGGAGCCTGGGAGCCCTCTGGTAAGCCTGCCTCGCTCCGTTCACGGGCCTCCCCGAGCGCACGTACAGCCCTGCCTCCCGCCACAAATACCAGCCTCAAGACTGAGCATGAGGTCCGTCTGTCTCGGAGAAGAAGGTCGTGTGTCCGTGACCAGGGAGAGGCCAAGAACTGAAGCGGGGCCCAGACATGCTGCCCGAGCAGCCCAGCGCGTGAGCACGCCGACTCCGGGGGACGTTACAAATGTTGAGGAGAGAAGTGGGTCCCCGGCCCCTTGCGATGCAGGCTCAGGTCCTCTCCTCGGGTTCTTACACGAGGTCACTGGAGAAGCTGGACGACGTGGGGACACTGAGGTCACAGGTACAGGAAGCTATTGCACGAACTGTATGATGCTCCCCTTTAGCAGAACTACATCCTAAAGTTCTAATTGGAAGCTTAAAATTTATTGGTCAGATTTGAAACTGGGAAGCAATAAGACGTAAGAATAAAACGTTTCTTTTACTTACTAAATTGTCGGTTTCCGGGTCTTCGCAAAAGAAGGGTTTTCCTTCTTTCTCTTGCTTTCTTACAAAATTTTCAATATCTACATCAAAACTGGCAGAGGTCGTGCCTTCTGAGCCCTGGGTAGACTGTTCGCATTTTTCGAACAACAAAGCTAGTAGTGGAAACAGTGGATGCCTGGGGGGAGAAAAATTTTAAATGTACGTTCCACATTTTCGGGAGAATATTTTAGTATGTACGTATGCACTGGCTTATATAACAGCGCGGCTGAGAGACAGTTCCTGTACGAAACAACATCCACTCTAAAGCGGACAATTCAGTGGTGCTTACTATACTCACCACCAAGGCAATTTTATAACATTCTCATCGTCCCCCAAAGAAACCCTATCGTCATTAGCAGCCACTCTCCGTTTTCCCCCAAACCCCAGTCCCAAGCCGCTGCTAATCTACTGTCTGTCTCTACGGATTCGCCAGTTCTGGACACTTCGTATAAAAAGAATCACGGATGGGAATGCAAACTGGTGCAGCCACTCTGGAAAACAGTGTGGAGGTTCCTCAAAAAACTAAAAACAGAACTACCCTACGACCCAGCAGTTGCACTACTAGGCATTTATCCAAGGGATACAGGTGTGCTGTTTCGAAGGGGCACATGCATCCCCATGTTTACAGCAGCACTATCAACAACAGCCAAAGTATGGAAAGAGCCCAAATGTCCATCGATCGATGGATGAATGGATAAAGAAGATGTGGTATATATATATACACAATGGAGTATCACTCGGCAATCAAAAAAAGAATGAAATCTTGTCATTTGCAACTATGTGGATGGAACTGGAGGATATTATGCTAAGTGAAATTAGTCAGACAAAAATCACATGAGTTCACGCCTATGAGGACTTTTAAGAGACAAAACAGATGAACATAAGGGAAGGGAAGCAAAAATAATACAAAAACAGGGAGGGGGACAAAACAGAAGAGACTCATAAACATGGAGAACAAACTGAGGGTTGATGGAGGGGTTGTGGGAGGGGGGTGGGCTAAATGGGGGAGGGGGACTAAGGAATCTACTCCTGAAATCATTGCTGCACTATATGCTAGCTAATTTGGATGTAAACTTTAAAAAATAAAAAATTAAATAGACAGATAGATAGATAGATAAAAGGAATCACAGGATACGTGCCCTTTGGCCTCTAGCCTCCTTCACTTAGCGACACCGCTTTCAAGGGCCATCAGTGCTGTACCGCGTGTCGGTACGCCATTCCTTTTTATGGCTGCACGACACTCCACTGTGTGGAGAGACCAGTTCTCCAGTTGCAAGTTTTACACTGAGATCTATGCCCCATCTTGAGGCAACTTCTGTATAAAACGTGAGATGAGGTCAAGGGTCTTCTTCCAGCAGGTGAACATCTAACTGTTCCAACACCGTTTGTGGGAGGGGCTACCTCCACTCCACCGAACTGTGCTGGCACCTTTGCGAAGGTCACATAAATCATGTTTTCGTACACCTACTTCTGGACTATCAGTGACGCTGATCCCAGCCCTTCACCAGCGTCACGACATCGTCATTACCGTAACACCCGAGTCAGCCTTGAAGCCCGACTGTAGTCTTCCTCTTCAACACTGTCTTAGCTGGTCTAGTTCCTTCATCTGCCATGTAAAATTTAGAACTGGCTTATCTATATGTACAAAAATATCCCGCTGAGACCTTAATCGCAATTGTGCTAACCCTGCAGCTGGATTTCAGGGGAAATGACATCTGTGCTGTGCCGACTCTTGCAATCCATGAGTATGGTATGCCCCACCACCTAGGTTCTCTCTGATTGCTTGCGTCAGCATTTACAGTTTCCAGCATCAAGGGTCTGTGTTTTGTTAGGTTTACACCTGATTTGGTGCCCTTGTAAACGGTATTGTCTTTCTAATTTCCGTTTCCAATTGTATATTACTGGTATAGAAATAGGATTTGTTTCTGTGTGTTGCCCTTGTAACCTGTGACCTTATTAAACTCAGTCCTGGACATTTTTTGGTGGAGTCTTTGGGATTTTTGATGTAGACGATCGTGTTGTTGGTGCACAAAGCCAGTTTTCTCTCTTCCTTTCTCAGCTGGTATGCCTTTTCTTTCTTTTTCTTGCCTTACTGCACTGGCTAGGACTTCCATTACAGTACTGAACAGGGGGAGGCCGAGTGGACATCTCTGCCTTATTCCCAATCTTACAGAAAACAGTCATTGGCCACTAAACATAATGAGAACTATAGATTTTTGGAGGTTGCCCTTCATCAGGTTAGGAAAGTTTCCCTCTATTACCACTTCGCTGACAGCTTTCAACCATAATTAGCTGTTGACTTTTCTGTGTCGACCGATACGAGCGTGTTGTGGGTCTCACTGGTTGAACTTTGACTAGTGAATCAGTCTTGAGTTCCTGGGATAAACTCTACTTGGTCACTGAATTTCATTTGTTAATGCCGGATTAACTATTTTTACGTGCAAGTTCGTGAGGCGCACTGGTGTGTACTTTTCCTTTCTGTATTGTCCGTGGCTTTAGTATCACAGTGATGCTCAATTCGTAAGCTGAGTTGGAAAGCCTCCCCTGTTCCTTTTTCTGGAAGAGACTGTGTAGACTTGCTGTTTTCTTCTTCTTTATTTTTGGTAGGATTCCCCAGTAGAACTGTCTGGGCTTGAAGATTTCTTCTTGCAGGGTTGACTAAAATACAGATTTAGATTCCAAAACTTTTTTTTTAAGGTAGTAGGAATAACATCTTAATTCGAGAAACTGCTCACCCTAGTGGTCATCACACCATACCCAATGCTCTGCCTAGCTGCCAGCTCCAGCATATTCCATTTACCAAGTTTCTCTGCTCCTCTTACCCCTACTAAAACCCACGCGCATCGCATCTCATCGCTACCTATAAATGGCCTGCTTGTCTGCGTCCATTGGCGTCTGGGAGCCCGCCGGGGGAGGGCTCACTCCTTCCACATCCGGTTCAGAGCAGTTGGGATCTTGCTCCGTTTTTAACTCTGTTACTACTTGCATCTGTGAAAGGAGGAGGAGAGTTTTTGTTACTAAACACAAAGTAAACTGCTACTAAGTATTCTCTTCTCAAGCAGAAACAAGAGGACTGGTAAAGTGGGAGACAGTTGGATGGCTGGCGAGAATCCATCAAAATTACCACCAACAAACCTCCTTTGAGTCTGACACGTTTTGCAAATGGCTAAAACAAAGGTTGAGTTTCCAAATCATCTTGAAAACTGAGGGCCGATATCTGTGAACTGCGTGTGATTTTCAAAAAATATGCCACCTCCAGAGTGCCGAGGGGATTAAGTCACCTTACTGTGTGTGTCTCTTCCTGCCCTAAACCCTCACACTGAGCAACATCACAGCTTGAGAGGTAGAAACAAACAGTCCAAACTCTTCCTATCTTGTCACGAAAACAAACGTAGTCATGGCAGGGCTGAAACTCTCCCCTATCTATTCTTAAATTTCAGGAATACGTCATCTATAAACATTTTGAAAAAAAAAAGTCACTGTATTTAGAAAGTAAAGACTGGCGGTGTTTAAAGAAATAGCATCTAGGTATTATCATTTAAATTGCTTTAAACTAAGGGGCGCCTGGGTGGCTCAACTGTTTGAGCCTCCAACTTTGGCTCAGGTCACCATCCCACGGTTTGTGAGTTCGAGCCCCGCGTCGGGCTCTGTGCTGATGGCTCAGAGCCTGGAGCCTGCTTTGGATTCTGTGTCTCCTTCTCTCTCTGCCTCTCCCCACTTGCACTGTCTCTTTCTGTCTCTCAAAAGTAAATAAATGTAAATTGCTTTAAACCAGCTATTTTGGTTTGTAACTTAGGTGAAAAGTCTTTAAATCCTTAAACATAAAGAATTCAGTTTACAGAAAAAAATTCCAACTTGCTGGGGGGCTCTGGGTGGTTCGGTCAGTTAAGCATCCGACTCCTGCTTTCGGCTCAGGTCATGATCTCAGTTGTTAGATGGAGTCCCAAGCACAAGTCTGTGCTGACAGCAAGAAGCCTGCTTAGGATTCTCTGCGTCTCTCTCCCTCTCTGCTCCTCCCCCGTCTCCCCCCCACCCCCACCCCATCTCCCCACCCCCACCCCCGCCACCCCGCACCATGCACTCACTTGCTCTCAAAATAAACATTTAAAAAAAACCCTAAATTGCTGCAGTAAACTTGTAATTATCCAGGAGCAGATTACCAGTGCCCTCAGCTGCTTCAGGACCGGAACCCACCTGCCCTGCCGCCAGCTGCCATGACTCCGGTGCCCCGGGGGAAGCAGCTGGGGGGGGGCACTCGGGCAAGGGGCTTGTCCCCAGGCAGGGAGAGAGCCATGCGACCCCCCTGACAGCCGGGGGTAGTCGCCCGCCCGGCGAGGGAGCCCCCCTCCTGCGGTGCAGGCTCTAGTCTCTCCGACAGCCCAGATGTGCAGGGAGACCTCCATCCCACTGCCTTCAGATGGCGCAGCGCGCCTGGGAAATTGTTTCTCTCTTGAAAACACGAAGCAGGAAAGCAACTAACAAGCCCAATAGAACACAACCTTTCTGGAGGGAGATCCGACAGTATCATAAACAAGTGTCAAAAGATGTATTTCAGGTCTTTGGGTTTGTTTGTTTCTTTCTTTAATGGTCTCGAAGGAAGGGAAAGCTCGCTGTCCAAGTGTGGAGGGGAGGCAGAGCCACACCGTGGGACAGTCAACGCGTAACATAACGTTCACGAGTTTTGCGTGTCGTGGGAAAGAGCTTGGCTGTTAAAAGCGAGGCTCTGTCCCTCCCCGTGCCTGGCACTGCACAGGACACGAACCCCATCAGGGCACCAGGACGCCCGCCTGCCCTGTGGGGGGAGGGGACTCCGAACAGGATCTGCCAGCAGGTGATCAGTGCCACAAAGGAGAACCAGGTGCAAGCAGGGAGGGAGCAGGGAGCAGGCTTGGTGGGGGGGGGG